AGAGTGGATAGGTACAGAGGTGTCCTGATGGCATGAAGTCCCATCTCACATGACTTGAGAGAACTGATGCCAGGTAACAAAGTTCTACTGGAAGGGCTGTTTTTTAAATGAATAAGGCTCATACAGGAGGTGGATCATCAGATATATTTGGGAAGAAATGCTGTCACTGACTCCTTCCAAGACCCTTGAGATGAATATGAATTGATTTTTTTGAGACAAAAACTTAAGATACAGTAATTCTTGGCATATGCAGCTGCCCAATCCCATTACATCAAGGTTTTGTGTAAGTTTGAAGCTAAAGGTTTATGAGTTCATCCACTGAGGGAACACTTGTAGGAAAGGGGCCCTGGATGCCTAGAGAAGTGATAAGAGCACATGTGTGCTCTGACGTCTGGCTCATTTTGGAGCCCTTTCCTCTACCTTGCTATTCGTGATTCCTTGTACACTTTTCACTTTTTATTTTAAATAATTGGTTTGAGGGTGTGGCTGACAGCCAAAATCTAATCAGGGTCAGTTGGGTGAAAATCCAGCAGTATGATTAGAATATAGCTTATTTTTAAAAAGGTGTCCCTCAATTGATGAGTGGATAATGAAAATGTGGTTCATATATACGATGGAGTTTTACTCAGCAGTAAAGAAAGATGAAATCATGAAATTTGCAGGTAAATGGATGGAACTAGAATCTGTTATACTAAGTGAAGTAACACAATCTCAGAAAAAAAATCGACATATGTTCTCCCTCATATGTGGATCATAGGATCAGACTCTGATAAATAAGTACGCAAACAGACATAACTGCAGGAACCAGGACAAGGGTAAGGAAACAGTGAGGTAAAGGAAAAGAAATAACCTGAAGGAGAAGAATAGTAGACAACAGACCTTAAGAAGGAATATATGGATAAAAATTGGGTTAGATTAGGAGAGGGGGGAGGGAAGGGCATATGAGAACCCTAGGGGATAAGGAGAAAGAAGCAGTTCAACAGAAGTAGATCATAGGAGCAAGGGTATTAGTAAGGAAGAAAGGGGGGGAAGTGCAGGCACCTTAAGTGGGAAAACCATGATAGAGGGGGGAGACGATACAAGAGAGAAACAATGCCTAGCTAGTCACGAAAACCAGAGGGAACCATATTATTCCTACAATCTACTGACAAATTATACATAAAAGATCAAGAAAAATATCTCTAGATAAGGTTTATTTGAGACCAACTGGTCATTACCCAAGATTTATTTACATGACACACAGTTATTAAAAATACCAGACTGGTGGAACTAACCTTCTTGGGTGTTTAACAGGCATACTTTGAGGTCTATAATAATTTGGTCAGAGGGACATAAAGGACATTTTTTGCTCCTTGCCCTCCTAGGTCGACTAGTTCCAGGGGACTATGAGCATCTCTCCAAA